ACTCTTTCGCTCTCATGTAACAGTCCCATATCTTTTAACGCTAGTTCGTAAAAGCTTCTCTCGGGTTTACCAACAATGGTTGATTTCACATTGGCCGAGTATTCTAGTGCTTCGACAAATGCACCAGGTCCGAGGGATAGGCCGTCGTTTTCGGCAAAGTATTTGCCCTTGTGGATTGCAATTAGCGGGGCATCCGGATTGGATATCAAAATCCGGAAAGCTGAATTCAACTGTGATTTGTCAAATTAATAAAGTGTCAAATAATAAAGGAAAATCGGTGAAAACAATTATGTACATGAATGATATAACGTGTACGTCCAATTATGGCCAGCATAATTGATAAACAAATAGAATAAACAATATCAACGCACCTTTTCATAGTTAAACTTTGACGGGGACAATCCAATAACCACCGAGTCATTCGGCTTGGATGTGTCAATTTCTTTAAAATCTTCCATTGCTGCTTCCTCGAGAAACAAAATTGGTCTGTGTATAATAGTAATGTTGGCTTAATCAATCTTGTTTACGAAGTTTATGAATTGTCAGCCTACCTCAATTTACGCGACTGTACCAAGTTTCTACACGCGATAAGAGATGTGAATATCTTTCATTCGTAAAGAATACAGAAAAAAAATGTTAGCCACATATCGCTGATAATGCGATCACAAGAAATTGTTAGTTTACCTCATTTTTGTGAATTTCGAAACCAAGCCCTGTTAATTTTTTCAATAATTTTTCACAACTTTCTTTGGTCGTGTTGGTGCAAAAGCGAAACTACATTAAGATTTCAAAAGGTATTAAATTGTGGTGTACAATAATGATTACGATTGATGACTTCAACTTACTGGTATGTTCGCCAGACGTAGTCGCTTCAACCCTTCCACAGCACCCTCACATGCCTACATTCGACAAATCCTTATATTAAAGAATTTGATTCAAGCGCAATTGAGAAAAATTATTGATCGAAACATACTACGTCGCCAACATGCAATGTTCCTGAAAGGTCTATGAGAACTCCCCGAATACTATTCATATCTCACAAGTCCGAAAGGTAGTACAATGCATGCGCTTGATCTTGAAGCGCTATGGCGCAGCATTACTAAATCAAGTCATATTCCTTTTGTCCCGCTTGTATTATCCTGGAAACCTTATCTTTTCGTCAATGTTCGTGATCATACTAGCAATTAGCCTGAACATGGCAGATATTATTACCCCAACGATGATTTATTTACTTATACATAACTTTGAATATTCTATTCCTATTGCCGAAAATTTCTCGTCATCTATTTGCCAGTATCGTCCTATTAATATCGTCTGGCCGTTATTACAATACGTGTCATGTATCATTTATAAACTCTAGATCAAAATTAATGCTTACGGAAACTAATACAGTCTAAAAAAAACGAAATGATATTTTTTCCATGTGTGCATTCTATGTCTTTGCCAAATGATTGGGAGCGTTATGGAACACACTCTTCCATACAAATGCCTGAGAAAGCAACATTTCAATGTCTTTCTCCGTCCAATGAGAAGTAGGAAGTGATTGAAGAAACATCATTATTCCCTAATAATTTGTGTGAAATGCCTCATTAGGTTTCTGATAAAAAAAAAGCTGTTCTTACGAATTCTCTCACCTGAAAATCCATTGATCTCAATTGGTCTGACCATTTATGAAGAAACGCAGCGCAGACATAAAGATGAAACTCGGAAAATCCTTCTGGTCCCTCAGCCTGCAACCCAAGTATTTGAAATTTTTGAAATTAGAAACAAAATATTACTGCTTGAATTCAGAAAGTCTGTATAATGTCTGCCCGTACCATATATGTATCCCACATGCGTATCGTATTCTTGAGTGACATCTCTCTCATAAGCAAACAGTTCATCCATCTAAATGTAAATTGGATAAACTCTATACCTTCTTCTTGGAGATGTGCTGCTAGTGGAGCTAGTGAATGAAATTTGTGATTGTATAATGTAATTGCTTAAGTATAACTTCTTATCTTTTTTTTTTGTTTAAAAAAATGAGAACCCACCATCTATTCTATTGATCAGTTCTTTGAGTTTCATTATCTGTCTTTGTATGCCAGGTTGTGCGAATGTATAATTATCCTGTAGTGAATGAAAGCAAGTATTATGATGACTGCAATACATCACACAAAGCGCATAACACGTCAAGGCAACTCACTTGAATTCCATCCAATAGTTTAGACAGACTCCAGAAGCAATCTGCCTCGATTACGTTCAATACGTCCTCGGGTAGTTTGCTAACATCGTACGTTGATGGATCGGCATCTTCATTTAATTCAATTATTAGTACACGTAATACGATCGCCCGATACATGAAACGCATTCAAACAGGTAATTACCTATATACGCAGACAAGAAAACTTGAAAAAACGGAGTGACAAGATCATTGATACCCTGTACATATCCACTAGCAGGATGCCGTATTGCCCACACATAAAGGATACGTTCTAAACACTATGACCAAGTATTAAAATAAGTAACTAAAATCGTACGAGGAATACAAATAAGGGATTTAAATTTACCTGCTGTGTTGTCTCGTATTGATATAAAGCTATCCCAGGATTAGTTCTCGGGACATCTATGTGAATCTGATTATCAATTTTGACCATCAGTATTAATGTATAATAATAATTGCGGTATCTAGGGGTACGTCGGAATATTAACGCATTATCCCACCTGATGCCAAATTGACTGGTCTAATCCCGCTATACCCTTAGCATACGCCTGTGATACACTGTCTTCGTATTCTTTGCGTTTGCGAGCTAGTGTAGCCACTCTTCTGTCTGAATTACAAGGCAAATAACCCTAAAGAGAATGGTAAAATGTGTTATTGAAGCTTTACACGTAGTACGCATCGAATACATGACTGAACGTTTGGCAACATAACATACGAGAAGTAATTGCCATGCTACAGGTCTCAACTCATCTGGTATCCCAGACCAACTTAAATTACGTAAAGCAACTGTAATGACGGTCGATTCGAGAATTAGTTAATGGCCATCGAATTTTCACTATAAACTTAACACTTTACTAACCCAAATCCACGTTCGGACTCTGGAGGATGTCTTTAAATTTATTAAATTTTGTAATACGTGCATTAATGTCTAATATTTCGGCATCACTCTGCCTTTCAAGATCCTCCGGCGACATTTTTATTGAATTAATAAATTTGATTAAATTCATCGGATCTGTCAAGATTCGCGATTTATAATATCAGTAACGTGACAAAAATACAGCGTTTGAACAATACACAATATAAATGTCTTTATTCACCTTCTACAATTTGCTTAATTTCTGCCTTGACGCCATCAGAGTTGATAATGGTCTGAATTCCACTAGAACTGCTGTCGGTATCCTTTTTGTAAGAATCCGACTTGAATGTACTGCTCTTTTTGTCATTTCTCAGATCCTTTCCTTCCGAGAAATCGCCGGGAAGGTCTTCGTCATCTGATCTGTCATTCCAAACATCGTTTGTGGACGAGAGATATTCCGAGAAATTATGAGCAGACGGATTTGGCGATACAGACCGAGTGGAAATATGCATTGAATTAGGCAATTGAGATTGTCTAGGAACAAAAAAAAAAGTCGAGTCAGCGGAACAATTGTGGCTAGGGATATGCAAGCATTAACGTAAAGGCAAACATACAATATATTACTATCAGCATCTGTGTTTATGAATTCACCATAAGAGTACTGTCCTCCAAGAACAACAGTAGTCAGTCCTCTACTAGAATCTACTGCCTTAATACTAACAAAACACGTCAGGAGACAATTATGATCATAGATTCGATTCGACTTTTACTTCCATATCACACCATTCAACATACCTGCCAGGAACGCTAGATGTGTGTTTTTGCCAGAAACCCCTAGTTAAACAAGAAAATGCGGTCAAATCAAAAGTTGTCTAATGATAATATTGTTAACAAAACAACTCACTTTCTTGACATCGAATGTGAAATATCAACATTAGTCATGCAACAGACTCAGGGAGTTCCTCGCCTGAGTATGTGAAATCCAACCGCTACCATGAACGATCCGAGTTTCAATTGGGACGCACTAACTACACCCATGTTACACAGGTCGATGATTTGCCTCTCTTGCAGAACATAATACTTTGTAACATATATGGAACATGCAAAGCGCTGAACGAGGCTGGTGTGGCTGGAATTATTATTATTGAGGATGCAGTTTATTATCCTTGCACTGAATGTAGAAATTACTCCTGCATGATGTGTTTCTGGTTCATTCGAGTGGTTTCTTGTTTAATTATAAAGTATTAATATTGGCACTTTACGAAAGGAAAGCATATCATAGGCATTTATTGGCGTACTTTGTAGCTATTAGGGCAGAGTCTGGTTGTTTTCCGGAAAGGAGAACAATTAGTGTAACTGTTTTGTCATTTTCACGGCTAAAAAAGTCACGCGAAAACATTTTAAATCAACGTGACATAATCTAATAACGTTGCGTTGTTATTTGCATTAACATACTATGTATTAGTAGGCTTGACTGTTCATGCATATTTCATTATTATTAGAACTCAGAAGTCATTACAAATTTATGAATTTTACAATAACCATTCAACTTCCTTGTTACGCTACACTTGTGTTATAATCCCGAGTTTAATTCAATCTATTAACACGTCGAGTTTTAAGTAGCTTTATATATAAAGCCGTAATAAATATATGTGCATGGTTATAATGTTATGGAGGAATTTTTTACAAGCTGCAATTACATAGGGAAATCGATAAACCTCTCTCAAATAAGTAGCCATACTTATCGTTTACCATAGAGCTTGCTATCTATTAGTTTTCTTACTAACAACAATATAGTTGAAATTATAATATGGTTTTGATTGTTGAAATTAGAGTAAAAGCTCGTAAATGCTACCCTAACTTTCAACACGTTTGTTCGATCAAATACAAGAATAAGTACAGTATAGTTCCAAAGTAAGCACTTCTTTTCCCCCAAAAATTTCCCCACAAATAAATCTACTCTCATTACTATTATTATTTCCAAGTTCATACTTTTACGAGATAAAACGTATTGTTAATATAGGGTTAGCAAAGTTCGGTTTGGAAAAGGGCGAGTGCATACAAATGCAAGCTTCAGACAGTGTTAAATATTTCCATGTAGAAACACAAAAATTGAACTTGAGAATAAATTACTTCAGCCTTTGCTTACTTACGGATGGGGCTTCGACATTAGAGCAACCATCATTCTGTACGTCGCCAGTAATTGTCACGTTGAGCATTTATGGATTTGTTTTAGTTTGTTTTGTTTTGTTTGTTTGTTTTTTTGCTAATTCTCTTGCTATTCTTCCAAAGATTGAATTTGCTTTATGAAGACAGTATATTCTGTGATTAATAATGTATGGTCAAGGCATAATTGGAAATTAGTGAAGTGGATGTGTGCTCGATGTGCATCAGTTCACGTCATCTTTGAACGAGCTCGAATATACACTCACTACCAAAAAGTATTGGCCGAAATTTGTCGATCAATAGTAAAACATATGAAAAATCCAATTTTTCA